AGGCTCAGTGAAACTTTCTCTAGCTAAGTCACTGGATTTCGTCTTTACCTTATGAATAAAAACAATTACGCTAACAGTTTTACTGACTTTTTTAAGTTTGGAGAGCAAAATGTTGTTTATGGAACAAGTCTGAGACTAGGAGATAAAAAATCCTGGTTCAAAAGTCCCAGCTGGTTGCTTTAGCCAGAGGTAGGCAAGGCTGGGGAGACCCAAGCTTACCCAACCACTACAGAGGACTGATGTCTGATAAATGGAGCTAGATGTTATTACACTTGTAAAGCAATAAAGACCAATATAAGATCTTTGTTTTAAAAAATCCATTTAAAATTCATTTTGAATGGCTTTACTTCAATAGTCAGACTTGTAGGGGAGCAGAGCAGGCGTAAGCATTTTGATGGAGACTTATTATTGTACAGTTCTTACCATCCATGCTGAAAGTCCTTTACCGGCACAACTCTCTTTGAATGCAGTCCCAAAGGGTTGAACCCATATTAAAATCTCTAATATGAGAAGAATGACAGCAAGGTTACAGTGTAATTAACCTGAGTTATCTCTCAAAACTCTTGCTGATACATATTCTGCCACTTCAGACCATGCTTATGCTGTGGTTTTTTAAATTAGCAAAGAAGGAGATTTTCATATTCATTCTGACTTAAAGGATAAAGGAATATTGGCATTAAAAAAAGAGAGTTGGTTGATATTTTCTATTATTTTCTAATATGATTCTTATAACATTTTTTTAAATGGCGAGTCTGCACAGCAAAACCTTATTCTGTACACTTCTCGAGTCTGTAGGAAAGTCTGTAATTCTTACTTAAGAAGCATGGTGATTCCCTTCACTGCTTGGAGAGAAAACAAAAGTAAAAGCAGGGCTATTATTCTGTGTTTATAGCAAGTCTATTACCATAGTAACGACTGTGATGTCACAAACCCTACACCAAGGGCCAGCTTCTGTCTCTGAGGGGGGAAGGACGGCTTAGCCTCGGAAATCAGATGAAATTGGATTGAAACATGTAGCCAAAGCAGGGTCAGTGCTTGTGGTAATCACCAAAGCCCAAGGAGTTCCCATTCTCGGAAGGAAAGGGGCGCGGGGAGAGACAAGCAGCTCCCCAGGCCCGGGAATAAGCTACACCCACACTTCTGTCTGCAGCTGTGCAAAAGGAGAGTGGAAATCCAAGAGAGTGTGGTATCACCGTGTTCCCGATCACGAGTATTCCACTGGGCCCACTGGCTGCCAGACATGGATGGGATCCAGTGGTGAGCCCGCCTGAGCACATGAAACACTCTCTGGAGCTAGTGTCTGACCAGACGGAGCTCTCTGGTACCTCGGAGCAGAAGCAACTCGCCTCATGATGGCAAGACCTTAAAACCAAGCTGGGGTTTTATGCCTACTAGGTCATCCAGGTTCACAGAACCACAGATGCTCAGACTCAGAGAACTTAGCAAGTCTCTCAAAAGATGTGGATTTGGGGAAAACAACCCTGTGAAGGAACAAGTTGTATCCCCTGTCACTAGGGACTCTGAAGAAGCAGATTAATAAGTCTTCTTACTCGGATACGGTCCAAGGAGGTATTGTATAAATACACTGAAAAGGCAACTTTATATTGGATTGGGAGTCAGAAGACCTTACTGCTAGTCTTGACTCAGGTGTTTAGAAGCCACCTGACCTTGAGAAAGCTTTTTAACCTATTTGAGCTTCAGTTCTTTATTTAATGATACCTAAAATGCTATTTACCAGGGTTATTGTTAAGATCAAATTAAATAAAATAATAAATTTGAATGAGTTTCATAAACTGTACAGGGTTTGATACAGGCATAAGGTATTATTTGCATTTTCACATAGCTAATAGGTTTATAGTACAACAGGAACAAGTTAAACGCTAATCATTATTTTCTTCCCAGGAATCCAAAGCATACATACAATCCTCATCTCCCCTATCCCAAGAGGTGGACACGTGCAGGATACAGTCAACTCTTAATTATTCAGGGGCTGATTATCAAGGGACCTTTTGCTCCTCGTCATTGTATCATTTATTAGTGTCCCACAGGAACGCCACGTTAACCTATATATGGCTAGAAAAGTGACAGTGAGCATCCCTCAACTCGATTACCTTGGATAACAATTCGGGGAAAGGTTTTAGCGAAAGGAAGAACTGAAATGATTAACTAGTGGGAAATTTTTGAACAATGTGTAGACTTTATACTTATCTATGGATAAATACCTCACTGTCAGGAAGGCTATGGTCAAGGTCAGACAGGTTGGAACTAATTCAAACATGATCTTAGCATTTTCTCAGAGAACAACAAAGCAGCCCGTACTATCTTATTATGCATGCGCAAGAGGAACTTGAATATCATTCATTCATTTATTCAACAAACACTGATAGAGTATCTGTTATGTGCCGGAGCCCACCACACACCCTGGAAACTGCTATTTTTCTGCTCTGTCACTGTCCCTTCCTTTTGATATTACACAGAGCACCCTGGCAAAGCTCACGGCCTGACTTTTAGAAACTCTATTCACCTTCCTGTTACCACGAGACTTTTGCCAATCTTACCCTAATGCCAGGGTCAGCAAGCTATGGTCCCTGAGCCAAACCAGGCCCACTGCCTTTTTTTGTAAATGAAGTCTTATTAGAACACGGCCACACCCATTTGTTTACGTATCATCTGTAGCTGCTTTTCTGCTGTCACAGCAGAGCTCGGTGGTCATGAAAGAGACGGTATAGTTCCAAAGCCTAAAATACTATCTGGCCCTTTACAGAAAAAGGTTACAGACCACTGCACCAGATAACATGACTAAATCAAAAATTCACCTCTCCTCTAAGTTTTTGCTTAGGGAATAACAGAGTCAGCTCCTTGAAGGCAGAGAAACTTTGTGTATCTTGGTCTTGTCATATAGAACCCTGGAGTAGGACCAAGTCAAGGTTTAGAGCAGATACAGAAAATTAAACACGTCCTTCCCCATGTTCTGCTTTCAACAGATGAGCACCTTGGAGTTCCATGGAAGACAGTATAAAACCGCTGGTGTTGTTACTCTGGCTTCTAATTCCTCAGAGTTCCTACATCTAAGGCTTCCAAGGCTCAATTTTTGGCCTCTATCCTTTGCATATTTATTTCCTGATCTGATGTGGAATTAGAGTTAAATAGGAGCTGTGTGCTTGAATTCCACGTGGCTGGCTCAGCAGGAAACTCCAGGGCAGGTTTTTTGGCATGCCAAACTCATGGTAGCCTCAGCTATGCTAATTTCTAGAGCTGTTTGCTCTGCTCAAATAAATCTTAGAGGGGAATTTGCATTTGGATGCATACCTTTTTATGCACACATTATGTGCATGATAACTCTAGGGCAGAATAAGGACTGAAAAAAGAAAAAAGAAAAAGAGGCATGGTGTTTACTAAATGCTCTTCGTGTGGCAGGCACTATGCTAGTGCTTTTTCTCATCTCGTGGCTACAATTATCCCATGAGGTGAAACTGTGATCCCCATTTTACAGACGGGGAAATTACGTAACTTGTCCACATTCACAGAGCTGGCAAATGACAAAGCCCAGATTTGAACCCAATCTGTCTGAATCTGAAGCCCGTGTTCTTTCTACTTAGTCACTCTGCCTTATTGATACCCTCATCATCAGCTTCACTCACCTAAGCCACTGGACCTACATGCAAACAGGAACCTACATTTACAAAATTAGTCACCCTTCTCTCCCGTTGTCCTATGCAAAATATGTCCTTTGACCTTTGGGAGATAAATTTGGGCCCCTCAGCACCACAAAATAATCAACCAAAAGAGAATAATGTCATTCGAAAGACAAACTTTTTATGATATACAAATAACGTTAGTATTTAGTAGACAAACACAATTACAAATGATTTTGATAGGTAAATGGACTTTGATAACATATCTGAGGACCTCGGTGTGAAAGGACACTTTTACTGCTAAAATGTAGCAGGCAAGCAAGAGAATGTGCCCATATCATGAAAGAAAATGTTAGTAACACTTAGAAGATACGGTAAATATATCTATAACGTAAGCCCAGGAATTTATATCTACAAATACCTTCATTGTTTACGGAAATGTAACCGAACACATATCTTCCCTAGAAAAACAAGCAAACAAAAAAAACCAAACAAAAAACAAGCATTACCTTTAGTGAGTTACAATAAGTACTGCTCTCAAAATGCAGTATTTATCATTGTTCAATTCAACATACAGAAATATAACCAGTATAGCAATTAATCATTCTAGCATAATTCTAACACTTTACAGCAAACCAGATACAATATTATTGAACGCCTCTGTCTGTGTGGAGCATAACTGTAACCTAGCTTGCAATATCACATCATGCTCAGCCCACTGCCATCCAGCTTAATATACCACCATCTAATTTTCTGGAAACATAAAAGCACTGATTATATTTTCATGCAAGTGAAAGTCAGATCTCCACTTTTTTTTTAAGCTCTCAAAGAGAGCTTTCCAGGAATTAAAAAGAACTCTGTAGCAGAGATGGCTAACCCAGGTTGCTTCTTAAGTGGATTTAGAAGAAGGCACACTGAGGAACAAGCCTGCCATACATGCTTTACAAACTGCCCCATCCTTCAGAAAATTCACAGAGGAGACGTGGTCCCCACTGTACCACTACCCGGCTCAACCATGGTTACTTTTGTTCTTGCTAACCAGCCAGTCTATATTTTATTTTTTAAATTAGTTCATCCTTTTTTAACTTTAAACATGATTTCAGAGAAGGAAAATATTTTTTTTATAGCCAGGGATAGGAAAAGTTTATTGTCAGCTGGAAACTGACAGCCTAAGTAGTTGTAGATTGGGGAATTTGTTTAAAAAACAATACTATTTTAAATAATACAGGCACTAATATTTCTTATCTACAAAGTCCCTTAAAATAGTCTTTTCCAAAATTAACTTGAACATTTAATAATTATCATAGGTTGGTTAAAACAATTTTCTGTAAGTCGTTATCATGGGAAGCCCCAGTAGTGACTTACCTGCCGGAGGCTTTATGAAAGGTGGCGGAATTAAAGGTACAATAATGGGCACATTGCCATGATCCTTTGACCCTGCGGGTGAGTCACTGAGTCCATTTCCTGTGGCAAGCCCTGAATAGCCTGTGCTTATATTGTATGGTGAAATAACACTGTCCTCAGGTAATTTTGGTTTTGGCAAAGAATTTTCTGTAAAAGAAAAAAATTACATTCAATATGACAAAAGGACTTATTTTCCTTATAATCACATTTTCTCAAGTAAAATCGCTATGGAATAAAAATGTTTTCTTGCAAATCTTTAAACACTTTACCAGAACTCCACAGACCATTCTGGACCTTTTCAGGCGTGTTACCATAAATTTCCAATGGGCTCCTTTATAATTTGCTCCACTAGGATAGCTAATATCCCAACTGTATCGTGGTGATGAATTTTAGCACTGTAAAAGCCCATAGAAAATTGAGAGGCAATTAACCTTTTCCATGTACAAAATGATACATAGCAGGTATCGCTCTCTGGCTACCAGGGGAGAAGGTTAAAAAGCACCCCCAACCCAGTACTGTAACTATGTCCCACTATATTACAAACTTGGGTGATAATATAATCAAAAGAACCAGTGAGAAAGAAGCCAATAATTAGAGGGGAAAAACCCTGTTGTTTCACAGGATAGACCGATTAATTTAACCCATTAATACCCATTAAAAATTAACAAAAATGGTAATAAAGAAAACATAATGAATTTTATCCTTTCATGTGAATTAAAAAAAAAAAAAGTCAACATGGAAAACAACTTTTTCCCTCCAGTAGCATATCCTGGTACTCTCCCATGTTCCCCAGAGGCAAAGATTTTTACCTAGACCAAGTATTATATGAGCGATTAGTTTATGGGATATAAACTCATGACTTGCATTTTTCATTTACAGTGAAATTGATGATACTATCTCTGTAACATGATGTGTACAATTTCATAGCAAACTTAACATAAAATTTGTCACGTACGTTCAATTCCACATGCCTGCAGGACAGCTCATTTAGATTTCGTTGCTTGGTACATAAGAAGGAAAAGCGCTATCTTAGAGACTGAAAATAAAATGCATGAACAAGTAGTTTACGCCAATAGATTCTGAACGCAATACAAATACTGATCAAATTGCCAGTGATGACACACAATTAGTTTTACCCACATTTTATTAAAGTTCCCCAAATGGGTTGCTTCCTCATATACTCCTTTTCTTTGACAAACAAACCCTTGATCCAAATTTAGCTTCATAAATTCAGTATCCATATCAATCCCCACCAATGGTTCTAGGTTTCCCTCATGACATATCTGGCAGTGCTACTCACCAGCAGAATCAGTGTTGATTCAGCTCTGCCAAACCGCTAATTTCTACTCTTTGGTTGGGCTTTGATGAAAATTCTTATAGAATTTCTTTCTTACTCTACCACTTTCTTACTCTCCTTACACTATCCAAGGCTGTGGGGACGAGAGAAGGGTGAAAACTTCAAACATAAAACAAAAATAGGACTTTCCTTTAGAATTCCTACCAAAAGAGGGGTGGGGGGGAAGAAATTACCAAAAGGACAATGGTTCTCTCCTACAGTCTGAAAATCTAACCCTAACATTTCACTTAACAGAAAGCACCAGTCCTCAACAATTGATAAATCAAAGGGCTTGGGAAACTAGGAGAAGTTAGTAAATATGGTCCCTTTCCATAAGTTTGTGGGCAGGACCACAGCGCTTAAGATCCCTAGTCCTTGTCTAGCTGGCTCTCCCGTTGCTGAAAGATTAAGCTGTGTCTATTTTTGTTTTATGTTGTGCTTTTATATTCCGTGGAATACTGCTTATGGGAAAACACTACCGGGGATGTACATTTAAATCAACCATTGGCATAATCAACAAAACGAGTCCCAAAGCAACTCAATTCTGGCAGGTTGAGATAGTTAATCCTTCTTTGCATGAACAAAGGGACATTAAATGTCATTACCTTTGAGAACAGAAATGTGCTGCCGGCTCTCTCCATCTGTAGGGTAGCTCCTGAATTCAATATCTTCACCATCTTTCAATTCAACCTTATCATAGCCATACCAGCCAAGGAGTTCATTCATGGTGTTTTCTGCAAAGTTCTGAAAGAGAAGCATAGGCTACTTACATATATAATCAATAACTATTTGAAAGGAATGCATAAATCAAATTCTGTTTGCACTACCCGTTCACTGCCAGCCCTGCCGTACCTCCCTTAGAGTCGTGTTCATTTTTCAAAACACGTTCAAAAATTGTCATGCATTTAAATCTCAGGATGACGCATCCAATTATGACGGGCTTTCAGACACTTGCAATTTAGAGATAATAAGAAAAAAGGTATTTATCAGTTTTGCTTACGAATAGGAAGTCATATTTTGGCATATTCTTCTGCAAAGACTATATCCCATACTAACACAAAAATATTGAAAGGTAAAGCACAAACAGAGCTAAGAAAAGATTTGAAACTGAAAACAATCGACCATTTTGTGACTCAGATTAATTTAAATTAGAATTGCTTCCTAATTCAGGTGGTGTTTCTTAACATGACTTTTATATCACATAAAGCAAAATCTCAGCAAAGAATTAATTTCTCAATTGTCAACCACTACCATCCAGAAAGGTGAATAGGCCACAAGGGTTTCCTTTGTTGATTTTCCCTTTTATAACAGTATTCTTTAAAAATCGAAGCCTAATTTGCTTTATGAATTCCATTAGTGACAGATTCTTTCCCCATGAAATCAAAGGTCACTATGATTGTCTTCTGACAAGTAACATAAAAGTACCAAATAACTTCAAGGTTACTAGCCAGTCCAGGTTTTGGATAACACATAAAAATACTCTATGAACTATAAATCAGTTTACAGTCAGGCCTCCATATCTGCGGGTTCTGCATCTGCAGATTTATGGAAAGTATTTAGTAAAAAAATTTCAGAAAGTTCCAAAAATCAAAACTTGACTTTGCCACGCAAACAACTATTTACATAGTATTTATACTGTATTTACAACTATTTACCTAGCATTTACATTGTATCAGTTATTATAAATAATCTGGAGATGAGTAAAGGATTCAGGAGGATGTGCATAGGTTATAATGAAAATACTACACCTTTTACGTAAGGGACTTGAGCATCCTTGGATTTGGGGATTTTAGTATTGGAGGAGAGGTGTCCTGGAACTACTCCCCCATGGATAGTGGAGGAATAACTGTATAATTGTAAGGTATGATCATTGTTGTTCTTATAGATATCAAGCTGTGGAAATAATGGGTATAGTTGGACAAATTTAAATCTGTCAGATGACTGTTTTCAATGAACTTAACAACTGCTAAATCTTAATGCTTGTAAGTGCATTAAAGTATCTTTATCTGAGAAACAGAGAGTAGAGTGGTGGTTACCAGGGGTTGGAGGGTGGGGGAAATGGGGAGATATTGATCAAAGGCTATAAACTTCCAGTTATAAGATTAACAAATTTCAGGATCTAATGTATAATATAGTGACTACAGCTAACAACGCTGTATCATATACTTGAATGTTGTTAAGAGAGTCCATCCTAAGTCTTCTCACTGCAAAAAAAGAAATGATAACTATGTGACAGGATAGAGGTGGTAGCTGATGCTGGTAATCGTTTTATAATATATAAATGTATCAAATCAACACATTGTACATCTTAAACTTACACAATGTTATGTGTCAAGGACATCTCTTTAAATCTGGGGAAAAAATTTTTAAGTTAAAAGAAGGACCCTATGTTATAGAGTAGGGACTTAATAAATGTTTGTTGAATGAATTCTTTTAAGGCACTTCTATTGGCAAGGCAGCCTGAGCTTCCTAGACTAAGCTAGAAAAACTATATATTCTAACCTTCTCTGTGGCTCAAAGAATCTTTTCTCATTCTCCCTAGAAGCTGTCATTGCTGAATTACACTGGGACATAGAATTTATATACCTGAAACAGAGCACCCAGGCTAAACCAGGGTGTGCACAGCCTCAACGTGTGAGTTCCATGTTCTCTTGAATTTCACGACTTTAGATTTCATCAGGGGTTGCATAAAAAAAAGATATTACACTACTGACTCCACAAAAACAAACCAGGCATTTCAAACTACCACAGGATGCCAGATTTTATTTTATTTTTTTCTTTAGTACCCACTTGAGCTCAGAGCTCCAAATGGGTCAATCTGTGATACTATAATGCACAAGCAATTTTTAAAAATCTAGCCAGATTGATTCAGTGCTACCATCCACAAGGCCAACAGTCAGCCATATCAAGTTTTAGTGGGGCATTTATTCTCTCTGATGGCTGGTCATGTCCACATTAAATAGACATTCTTTTCATGAATGCACAAAGATGATATGATCGATATGTGTAATAAGCTCGGCAACTTCTGGAATACCACTGAGGACGATTCGGCTAAACGCTGCTCTACTCAATCAAAAGAGATCCCTTTAATGATGGTCAGTCTCCCCTAACATCCAATCTCTTACACTGAGCTGAGTGCTTGGACTGGAGAATGACAGTCCTTAAGCTCACAAATCAAGGTCCTCCATCAGTGGTCTGGCAGCAGCAATCTCCAAGGATAAGGATTACACCTTGCATCAAAAAACCAATTCGAAACAGTGTTAAAAGCCAGGTTCAAGTCATCATATTGGTCTGTATACTATTTGCCTCAATCTGTAAGAGGAATGTGCCAAAGACAGAAAATCTTTTGCATAGTAACTCCTGGCCATCGTATCTAATTTTCTAGACCATTTGTATCTTAGGCGCCTCTCTCACTGGTTCTGTCTAACCTCTGAAGTGACACAAAGGCTACAGATGCATAATTCATGGAGCAACCTCCCAGCCAAGGATATAGATTTGTTTGTTTTAGTCCAGCTGCAAATCCATTCAGCCTTTCAGAACCAATCTCAGGGATGGGATCCAGAAGTTTCAGACATTTGGGTAAAAACTGAAACCTCAACTGGATTATTAACACCAAATTCATATTATTTGGGCATCATAACTGCATCACTTGGTTTATGGTTTGTGCTGAAAACTCAGCGGCTTCACAGAACAATCAATATGAACTTGATCTATTCCATGATTTTTGAGTTAGTATAAATGTCAGTGAAAATAAACTCTAAAACATTCCCTTTCTTGTCACTGAAAATAAAAATAAACACCTTAATGTTTTGATGTATGACAGCAAAAGCAGAAAACAAAAGGCTTATAAAATCTTGAGCCATAAATCCCAAACCTTTCATAAAAAGAGGAACAAGATGAAAGAGAAAACAAACACAAAAGTTTCTTGTATAAATACAAGAAATAGACTATTACCTCTGTCTTATACCTTATTGTTAAGAAATCAAAGAACCCCAAGGAATTAATAATTCAAAATGTGTCATTTCTAGATAGAATTGGATGCTAGACATTATATGGGCTTGTTAACAGTGCTAAACCAAAAGAAATGAAATGGGTTTTTCCAGTTACCATCCAAGAAACATAATACATTTTAGAAGAAGTGAATTTAATGTTTATAGCCCATAAGGGTTTTCAAGTTTTTCTACCAGAAAATAAAGGTGATAAGAGTTAAAATGCAGAGAGATTTTGGAGATAAGAATGTTCAATAATAGGACCAGCCATTGTACTAAGGGAAGTTGTAAAATTTGCTTCCCCCCAAATCTTCACCCAGATTGTCTCCTGTAGACTTAGAGCAAGAAACCGAAGTAGAGTCTCTGAAAGCCCCTCCCAGCTCTAAAATTCTGTGAAATTGAAGAGCTTCTACTTATACAAGAAATAAAATACCTTTTGCAAAGAAGTATCATAATTACAGTGATCACACATCATAAATTTTACTGAACAGCCACTATCTCAAATATTTTATCACTGTTACCATAAACCATCAAAATGTGCCAGAAATGTCAATACTCTGGCATCCAAATCACATTTTGCAGACTGCCTCTCACCCTTGGAAGTGGCACAAAAATCCTCTCTCATACCATGTGGTCCAGTTTGGGTTTGGAAAATAGGTCACTATAATTATAATGATAATGTCTAACACTCTTATAGCACTTTATAGGGTTTCCACATCCTTTAACTCTCTTGTTCCTGTCAATAACCCTATGCATTAGGTATTTGATTTCCACAATAAACTTTTCATGAACCTATGTGACATCCTCATTTCACAACAGAAAATGAGAGCATACAGAAGGTAAATGACAGGCAGGAGAGATCATCCAGTAAAGTCAGAACAAAAATACAGATCTTCTGATTCTTATATCAGAACTCTTTCTATTATAAATTCTGTATAGCCCAATGTGTCAGCAGTTCCAAAGGAGCTACTACTTCTTCAGACCAATCAAAGAATTGCAAGGAAATCATATCACAGGATGTCAACGTCACATATAAAGAGCTCTCCAACAAGGACACATCTAGCTACATTAAACTTTGCTTGCTTCCAGCTTTGCTCATTGGCCCCTACTCTCCTTAATTATTTGTATTATTGGAATATGGGTTCTTAAAATTTGCAATTAAAATTTAATCTTCTCATTTGACAATTTTTGACAGCACGCCTGACTCTAATTGCTTTGTACTTCTAATACTTTATCCCCATACCCCTTCTTCACCCTTTCCAATTCCCCCCTCTCACCTCCAGGGCTCCTAAGGAAAGAAGAAAATCTTAACATTAACTCTGAAAGCATGATCTCTTCCTAGAATTAAAACAAAAAAAAAGGTCATAGAAAGATAGCAGTAAGACAGGAAACTACTGTTTCCCCACTCCCCTGAGTTCTTTCTATACTGGCAAAATTTATTTTTGTTGGAACTTAATTCCCAGGACATTCACTTTCTTATTCAACTAGAAGTACTGTATGCACGTCAAAGTTCAATCTAAATGGTTTTTAATTGAACATTTTACTAGATAAATAATAAAGACTTGACTTCAAGTCATTTTGAAAATCACAGTAATTACAAAGTCTCAAAATACCTCTGAAATGCAAGGTCTTCAGAAAGGACTAATGACTTTGCTTTGAAAACACCAAACAAATTTAAAGATATAGGGTAGGTTCCTCTGATTGCTTTCATCTCAGACCTGGCATAACTGAATGTCGATCTGTTTTCAACTTGGT